ATAGCTGGTTGTTTTAATTACACCTAATATTTTTTAATTTTTTCGCTTTTATTTTTAAGTTAGTATGTTTATTGAAGAGGCAGTTATTTCTATTATTTGCTTCTGGTGTTAAAACATAAAATGGCTTATGTTGGCCAAATGTCGTTCGGGGTGCCTTGCCTCCTTCAGGTTTATATTTTTTGTCTAAAGTATCATTTAAATATCGTTTCTGCATTTTTAGTTTTTTTTTTAATGTTTTCTCTCTTTTTTCCCAGCAGTGGGTCGACTTACGTCACCACGCAAAAATTTCTTCAATATTTTTATTCTTTATATTTTTGGTGGTGATTTCCGAGATTGTTTAAGTATTCTGACTGTACTCTTCAGACCTAACATTTGGGACAGATTTGTTTTAATTTCATATTTTTATATAATTTCTTTATCTACAATACCCTTAAATTTTCTTTTAATTTCATTATTTTTGGTTTCGCTGTATTCCGATTTCAGAGAATCTGATAAAACATTGAGTTCAAATATTTTTCCTTTTATCTTGTTCCTGTCATTATTTGGTATTGTAGGATTTAAAGAATTAACAAAGTAATTTATTTTACTGATTGGAGTTGTAACATTATCTTGGGCACTCACTCTTTGGTCATTAAAACACAAAGGAGAATTTTTACTACTCGTATTTAGCTGGTGTTCCAAATGTTGAATTTTTTTTTGGAAATATTGACCAAGTAGCATGGTTGAAGTCGAAACTTTGAATTAGCCTAAGAAAATATTTTTTTGGTTGCCGTATTGGGATATCAGGCCATCAGAAAAAATATATTGTATCTGCTTGAGGATATGTTTCTTTCAAATATTGTGGTATTGGTTTTAAATGTGCCCTCGGGAATATGTATATTTGCTGGAGATATTGAACAAAATGTTATAGTTTTGTGTAAATCTTTATATATAAAAATTACGTGTCACATTGTTTGTCCGCGATGAACTAAACTGATTGTAATGAAATTTTGCACACTGTGTACAGTTTGGTTCAACTTGAGAGATAGGATAATTTTTATCCCCATAAGTGACCCTCAATATTTTTTCTTGTGAATTTAATAATTTTTTTAGGACACAGGGTCGTCGGAGAGGGCAGAACAACGTCTGCCTGGCCAGCTAGTTTTTTATATAAAGCACACCAGTGTTTAGAGTGATTTGAACCTTACATGATCCGAAGTGCATGGCTTGTAAACATAATTTTTGGAAAAATCTGTGTATGACTATTTCGTTTTGTTTCAAGTTAGCTATACAAAATTTATAATTTTTGTACTGATTTGAAATATTGTATGAGTGATTTAGAAATTTTCTTCGCCATACTCATGTTTCTTTGGCATCTACAATTTTGGCTATACAATTTTATCATTGTCTTTACAAGATTTACACAAATCATACATGCAATCATAGAAAAAAACAGTTATGACGTAATATGACTACCTTATAAAAAATATTAAGGATATCAAAATAATTACTATAGGAACTAAAAATATCCAGACACTATACCTATTTACTGTCATGAATACAATAAAAAACACGTATATGTAATCGCTAAATTTACATTAAAATGGCTAAGTGCGTGTTGGGCCACGCCCCAAAACAATGTAGATGTAGGGTTCCGTAGTTGCTCGCCACAATAGTACGTGGGCATTTTGGACAATGAGCATAATAAGAGAGTTCGCGGTTTGACCGCTATAACGACTAAAAATGGGCCCAAATAGGAAGATGGTAACTGAAGGTGATATTTTCAAATTCGACTTATAGGGAGTTGTATTAATTTTTTTTTAAAAACTTCGATTTTGAAATAATACAATTTACATCAAATCATTCACATGCCAAGTAAGTACAAAGTACAAAGATGATCATAGTTGACTATCTATCTATATATTCCCGGCGGTGCAACGAACCTTCACTTAAACCACCACTGCCCTAAATTATCCTGAGGTCGCCCGCGTAAACCAAGACTGTGACGAATGAAACTGTATGAGGCTATATGATCGTATGAATACTTTGAACGAGGTCTACAATAACTGCCAACTAAAAAATAAGTGAAAGTAGTAAGTAAGTAAGAAAGATCCTCTCTGCCTATCCCGTAAATGAAAAAGAAAACACATCCATAAGAAATAATGACTGACGTTATATTGTGACTCTACACAAGAAAACAAAAATGCTATTATCAACCCTAGGAAACACGTGAACAATAGCTCTGCAGAAACTATCAATTAGAACAAGGATTTGTAGCCGGTGGAAGGAAAAGGGGAGATCTCCCACCGGGCAAGGTGTTCTGCCCGGGGAGCGGCCAACGCTCCAATTGGTAGTTCGGAGCTATTCTATATATGCTGATTTAACTTCGGAACTTTGTTAGTGCTATTTAGGCTTCGATGTGTTTCGCTTGTGGCGCGACGACAGCGTCGCCACATCACCCCCCTGCTCAGACCGGAGGTCGATAGTGCAGTCTAGATGTCGACGAATTTGCAAGTGCCAGGTGTAGGTGCAGAGACGAGCAGTAAGGCTCAGAGCCGTGCCGAACACTGCAGCGCAGATAGTAGCTTGAAGGAACAGGAAGCATTATTATTCCAGTGCTGCGATGAACCTTTATAAAGCTAGATGGCTTGCAGAATGTGAAGACTGCAGACAATATCTGCTCGGGAGCGAATGAATGGGGTACCTGAGGATGATGACGAAGGTTTGAAGTTTTAGTTTTCGAAGGTTGTTGGTTGCGTGTTCGTATCACGTCGGGTGCTAAGCGTCTTGGGGAAGATGTTACTGGTGGGCCTAGTGTCGTGCGAATATGGTGTTGTGTGTTATCGTGTGTTGTGTACCAGCGGGTCGCGTGATTTCAGGAAACTCACCTAAAATTTTATGATACCGCGAGCTGCCAGTCGAAACCTTCACAGATGAAACAGAATCTGGACAAGAAATTAAAGATACATTAGTAACTAAAGTATTTGTACTATCTATTAATCTTTGGTTTCGACAATCAACAATTAGGTTATAAAAAGATAAGAAATCAACACTGTACACCACATTCGCACGACACCAGGCCCACCAGTAACATCTTCCCCAAGACGCTTAGCACCCGACGTGATACGAACACGCAACCAACAACCTTCGAAAACTACAAGAAATTTATTCAAGAAAAATCCAAAACTAAAAAACGATTATGCTAAGGTTATGAAAGATTACGAAACAAATTACATGGAACAGGTACCCAGACATGATATGACTAATCCATTGGTGTACCTACCACATCATGCTGTTGTTAAGGAAGAAAAGGAAACTACAAAATTTAGAACAATTTTTAACGCATCACAAAGAGGAACCAACAACATCTCACTTAACGACGAGCTGTTGGGACCACAGCCACAAGGAGAAATGAGAAGTGTTATAATGAGATGGCGGATGAAAATAATCTGCTTTGTAGCGGATATACAAAAAATGTATCTCTAAATCATGGTCACGAAAGAAGACAAGAATCTGTGACGAGTACTCTGGAGATATGATGATCAAGATCCTGTTAAAGACTACCGACTTCCAGGGTCACGTTCGGAACTGCTTCTGCTCCTTACTTGGCAGTAAGGACCTTGCACCAAGTGACTCATGACGATGGCCAAAACCATCCTGAAGCAGCAGAAATAATAAAGAGAGATTACTACTGGTCTACCTACTGGTACTACCATGTCAAATCGCCAGAAAAATCAGCTGACTCCGCTTCACGAAGGCAATTATTGCAAGAGCTAAAAATGATGAACTGTGGTGGAAAGGCCCAGAGTGGCTGAGAGTAGGGGAAATTCAATACAGCAGACTCAATACAACCTGAACAGACCTGGAAAGAAAGAAATCAATACATGAAAATTTGAAATTAAACAAAGGGAAGAGTATTAGTACAAAATTTGAGGATTGTGACAAGTTACAAGAATTGTTTAACCTTTCATGTGCCGGGCCTCACTGCGCTAGTAAACCCTCTTCTGCCGAGAAATTTAAGCTCGCGCGGATTCTTTTTTAATATGAAATTTTAACAATTAATCGATATATTAATAAATCATGTTATTATTGATATGAGTCTTACCCGTGTTTTAAAATATTTTTCTTAAGAAAATATTATTTTATTTATTAATTAGAAGCTGTCTCTTCTCTGTTGAGAAAAAGTGAAATTATAGCTATCAACAATAACCCAATTGGAATTCTGTTCTTTGTTTCCATTAGTCCAATATATGTATTTACTGCTGAGATAATCCAAAATATATAAGACTTATAAGCTAAAACGAGTAGAAAAAGTAATTGAAGTTGTTGGACGAGCGCAGATGTACGTTCCGGCATAGTAACGTCAGCGTAGATCTGTGTTACGACAAAGCACATACAGAGTGTTATATTTTTAGGAACAAATAAAACTGTTTTAAAAATATAATTATTATCATATAATTAGTAATCCAGGTATGAAGAAAGCCGATGCTGATAGGGTTATGGGAAAAAGTTGCTAAAGTATAGGATTTGGTTATACACTATTATTTAGACGACTACGTAGTTATTTTCCTACTAAAGCAGCAGTTCCAGTTTATGATAGTCAATCCAGCATTTTCCGACACATAAAAATAAACGACATTTGGTACATTTAGACCCAATTTCACCAAACTATTCTTAATTACCCATTAACCCTTGTGTGACTGACAAGGTACCTGGGTAACTTTTGCGTTTTCAAATCACTAATATTCTGTTCTCCAAAAGCGGCGGATCTTGTACCTTTGTGACATCTTTCAGCAGCGTTGTTGGTACTTCCTAGACCTTTTATTTTTTTCAATTTAGAATTTATTTTACAATTAAAAGAAATTTGTTTCTTTGTTCAGCTTTAGATAACGGAGTAGGTACCCGGGTATCTTTAAGCTTTTTTACATATTTATTATATAAAATCAGTTAAAACTCGTAGAAGCAATACTATTATTGCTTTTATGTCTAAAATAAAAATACTTCAAACAAAATTACAATGTTTATTGAGCCTTTTGTTTACAAATGTTACAGGTTGGTTTATTTACACAATGTTCATTACAGATCGGTTTGTGACAAATCGAACAAACTTTTCTAGTTTTGCGTTGCTTGTGACTCAATTCTCTGCAAATAAAGCAACTGCCTACTACGGGTATGCGTCCAGTTTTGTCACGGGGTGTCTGACTGTGGTCTTCAGCAACCACTTCTTGAAACAATTCCTGCCCAAGTACAATTTCAATTGAAGTACGTGTAAAGTAGTGTCCCATCACTCTTGGAATGCTGGAGCGATTCTGTATGGCAGGAAGGCATAACTGTTTTGCAAGGTCTTTCAAAAAAAGTCGTCGGCTATCAGTGCGTCTAACGTTTTCATTATGTTCCAAAAATATAATGTAAGAAGCCAGGGCAGCAACATCTGTGATATTGTAAAATAACGCAAGCGGCCAACGATTTGTTCTACGTTTTGTTGTATATTCCGTCACCATTTTATCCATTGTGTCAACGCCACTTTTGGTTTTATTGTAATATTTGATAATACTCGGCTTAGCTGTCAAATTTTCTTCTACTTCAGCTGTGCCATGCATTGATGACAACAAGACAACTGATTTGTTTCTTTTGGGCACGTATGAGCAAAGAGTTTCGTTTTCACGAAATGCAAAATTTGTAGATAAGATTGCTCTATCTTTTGATGCCTGCATGTTAGAGGGTAGCCATGGTTTATCTTTTCTAACGGTACCTACTAAAGTCATACGCCACGAATTTAAAACTCGAGCCAGTTGCAAGCTGGTAAAAAAATTGTCTTTAGTAATATTTCTCCCTGAACCTTTGTAAAATTGTACCAAATCTAAGACCGTCTTTTCACCAACATTGACTTGACGTTGCTCGTCTAATGGTTTTCCTGTGTAAATTTGTCCTTGTAGAGGATAAGCGTTTGAAGAATCGCATGTCCAGAAGATTTTTATACCATACTTTGCTGGTTTGGACGGCATGAATTGCGTAAATTTTGTATGTCCTTTATAAGGGAACAATTGTTCATCTACAGTTATGGATTCATTGGGTTTATAATGTTTTTTCAAATTTTCATTGAGCATCGTCCACATGTCGCGAATTGGCGCAGCTTTGTCGGTTTTTACACGTTCATTACGTGTGCTTTCATTGTCAAATCGAATGAATCTCAAAAACATTTTGAATCGGTCACGAGACAGCCGCTCGTATCAGAGGCAAAGATTCTAACTTCCACATTTCGTAAATATGTTCTTTATTAGATCTATGTACACCAGCTGCAAGAAGTATTCCCAGAAATGCATCAAATTCTATTTCAGTAAACGATTGAAAGTTTTTTTGAAATCGCCGGTTTTTAGCCATTATTTTTCTGTTATAATCATCCGTTACTTTTTGGGCTTTTCGGGTGGTTTCCCTTAGAATAATATCACACATTTCCGTAGATATGATTATTTTGAATATTTCTTTTGCCGAGTAGGATGCGGTGTAATTTGCTGCTCCAGGTTTTTGACGTAAAATATTGCGACGAATTGTCTGAGCTTGTGGAAATGCATCCCTATACCATCAAGTGCCATCTTTACTCAATAAATTCGACTCTATGGGCGGTTCTTCTTCATCCTCGTCATAGTACTCTTCTTCCTCAACTACAGAATTTTTTTTTCTGAATCTGACTCTTCAGAATCCATAGCTTCCGGTTCCGGCACATATTCATCCTCGTCAGACGCAGTGTATGGCTCTTCCGATTCCGAATCATCTAGGGCGGCTCTCAACTCGGCAGATGTCAATCTAAAATAACATGTTTTTTTATTAGAAACTCAAGTAGATCATTTGATTTATTAGTCTCAGACATCCAACATTTAAATTTGAATATAAAATAATAATTATTGTTTGCTTACCTTTTATTCCGCCACTTCGGCACGGAATATCCGCTTGGACCAGCTTTATTATCATCATCCATTTTTGTGACACACTATCAAATAATTTCGAAAAACACGTCTTTACACAGTGAATTTGCTTGCACAAATGCTCGGACGCAACGAACCATGCAGGAGGGCAACATGTTCCGACAAGAAAAAACTTGTAAAACAAAGTTGAAACACATCTAGAGTGCAGTAATAATCTTAACACAGGCGCACTATGAGTAACAAACAATTACAATTTGCGTAAATATAAATTTTACCCCCCTAAAAATATTTTGTTCGTCAAATGGTATCAATAAATAAAATTAATTTTCATACGACTGTGTGGGGAAAATCTAAATACAAGTCATTTTATCTTGTTTATCTAAATATTCATGGTTAAATATTAAATACACCATAAAAATCCATATAAATGTCAAAAACATGTTAAGAATTATAGCAGGTACCCGGGTACCTATACCGTCACTAGAAGGTATTTTATTTCACAGTCACACAAGGGTTAACAAATGTTCTGATGACTTCGACGTCAAAAAGGTTTACGTTCTATAAAGGGATCTTAACGAGGCGTTGCTAAATCAAGCATCAACTAGATATTGTCTGTGATCAAGTGAACAAAACCGACCGGTCTGACTTGTCATTCTTTTACACTTCAATCTCGTTACTACGCAGCCAAATCAAAACGTCATGGCGCCTATACAAAACGTTCTGTAAACAGTATAATTCTATATTAGTCGTTTTGAACGTCAAACATTTTCGGTTTCGCGCTTGTAGATTTCGTTTTGTGGTGGTTTTTAATGCCTAAATTTTGTAATTTTTACTTAATTTGTGTTTTAAAATGCGGAAAAAAATCGTGGACCTAATATCTGTGCTAGTGAAAAAGAAATTTTAATAGGATTCATTCTAAAACATAAAAATATAATAGAAAACAAAAAAAAAAAACAGATGCAGTGACGATTGCTGACTGAATAGCTCCCTGGCTGAATCAGAGGGTTTGAATAAGGAAGCAATTGATGGCAGAATTCGTTGTGAAGTTCAGGTACCAATCTCATCACAAATATTTCATCGCCAACTGTTATTGGTACAACATTTTGCAATGCCATTTCAAACTGCTTATGTGGATTTTATCACATGAGTGAAGTTTGGACTGAATATAATAAACCTACTTTTTGTTTTAGGATAAGGATAATATTTGGCATGGTTGGTCTCCAGCTGCACTAAAAACCAAAATGTTAGATGCACTGGTAACAAAAAAGAAGGGGAGCCCAACATGGCTTCACAGGAGAAGACCAAGGGCTTCAATGGCTGACAATTTACTGGTTAGCAAGTTGGAGCTAGTAGAAATTTTGGAAAAAAATGCAGAAATTGAGGCAGAAAAGAAAAATTTATTGCTCGACGAGCAACTCAAACAACAAAGATTAAAATCTGAACTTTTACAGTCTTATTCCAAAAAAATGTTTTAGTACTGGGTTAAGTTTAGGAGTAAGAAGTCCAGGTTTGTTACAATATTCTAGTTAATACCAGCACTAAAACGTGTGCTTATTACAAAACGCAGACTACCCGAGGACCAGTTAATACCAACGTTAGTATTATATTAAATATCATTCACAGATAAAAAACAAAAAATGACACTCTATCATTCGTTCATACAGGTTTCATTCAATGCAACGTTCGGTTTCATAAAATATTAATATTATTTTCACACTTAATTATGCTTAAATAATTATCCATCAATACAAAAACATATCATACATTGTTATTTGTTTACGTTAAAATCTAGTGAACAAGCACGACATATACTTTTTACGCGCTTTTGATTATATCAAGTTGTTTTCAGTTTAACAACTCTAGCGTGAAATGTAGTGAATTACAGAGGTAACGCGAGCGCGGGATTCGAGACGTTCAAAATAGTTTATATTGCAGCCTTATAATAAGTAAATTAAATTATTAATAATTAATTAAGTACTTGTTATTACAGTTATATTTATATAATAATGGAACAAAAGAAAAAACGGGGTGAAAATTGGAGTTCTGAAGAAAAGGTTAGTGAAATATCGAAATTTATTTGTCAGTAGGTAGCAATACTCTTATCCTCCTATTATCCTTATTTCAACTAAAAGGAATGTTCTTATTATTATAGGAAATATTACGTACACTTATTTCACAATCAGCACATATAATAGAGAATAAGTCGACAAAAACATCGGTAAATATTCAAAAAATAAAAGAGTGGAAGAATATAACTAATAAGTAAGTACTTATCGCATTTGTTATGTGTACAAATAGGTACGGTATTGTTTACGTGATTTCGTATTTTTTTTTTAGATTTAATGAGATAACAGGTAAACGCCGATCAGATGGTGAATTGAAATTATCTTGGAAAAGAATGAAGTTGTGTGCTAAATCAAATTTATACACATATAGGAGGGAACAATCAATGACCGGCGGTGGCGGAAAACCTCCATCACCTTCTCTTGAGGACTTGGAAATAATGTCCATTGCCCCTCACGACTTTATCGTTGAAGTTAATAATTATGATAGTGATGCAGTGGTAAATAAAATTACTTACATGTCTTACAAATTTAATTAAAATTAAAGAACTTTATTTTCCATTACTTTAGTACCTAGGTAGTGCTCTGAAATCTACTCTTAAAACATACAATTTATAATCCAAAATTATTTTCCGAATATTCAAAATTTAATATACTTAGTAACAATTTAACATAAATTTCTTTATAATTAATTATATTCAAAATTGAAATGTCACAAATTCATATATAGTGGTCTATATAATATCATAACACACATGTTACTAGATTATCTACACAGTCCGATTATAATTTTCTATTTTTGTCTATTAGGTATTATAATTAATAATTTATTAAATTACCTTTTGTCTTGGATCATAATAATATTTCTACAACATAGAAAATATCTGATTCAATAAAGGGCAAAATACAGGTGACAGGAAAACATGTTAATAAATGTTTTAATGATTTATTTTAGGATCCAGTGACTGTGGCTAGAACATCAAAAGAAGTTGCTGACCCTAAGCCTCGCCTTAATTTTGAAAAAAACAGACACAGCTATAGTTAAAAATGTAGAAAATCCAGAACCCAATGTTGTATATGTGCAAGGTAAATAATACTGATTGAATATTTATTAAAAAGCAAAATATATTATTATTATAGTTACAATCATATGCATACAAGTTTGTAAATATTATTAATGTTAATTTTCTAAAACTGTTATATTTATATTAATTTTAAGAGATAGATCCAACTACAGATACAGAAGAAAGTGCCAAAATGGTGAAAATAACCAACAATACAGATATTATTACTAGGGGTATAACAAAAATTAAAAACAGGAAAAATAGCTTGCAAAATAGGTATGTTGAAAAAATTACATAGTCTGATACATTACATACTTTTTAAAATGTGAAAATTAGTATTTAAACACTGAAAATTGTTTCATGTTTTCAAATATTAAAAGCAAAGTTTAATATGAATTGATTTAAAAATAATTAAAAAATATTTCTTTGTGTGTGTGTGTGTGTGTGTGTGTGTGTGTGAGTGTGTGAGTGTGTGAGTGTGTGAGTGTGTGTGTGTGTGTGTGTGTGTGTGTGTGTGTGTGTGTGTGTGTGTGTGTGTGTGTGTGTGTGTGTGTGTGTGTGTGTGTGTGTGTGTGTGTGTGTGTGTGTGTGTGTGTGTGTGTGTGTGTGTGTGTGTGTGTGTGTGTGTGTGTGTGTGTGTGTGTGTGTGTGTGTGTGTGTGTGTGTGTGTGTGTGTGTGTGTGTGTGTGTGTGTGTGTGTGTGTGTGTGTGTGTGTGTGTGTGTGTGTGTGTGTGTGTGTGTGTGTGTGTGTGTGTGTGTGTGTGTGTGTGTGTGTGTGTGTGTGTGTGTGTGTGTGTGTGTGTGTGTGTGTGTGTGTGTGTGTGTGTGTGTGTGTGTGTGTGTGTGTGTGTGTGTGTGTGTGTGTGTGTGTGTGTGTGTGTGTGTGTGTGTGTGTGTGTGTGTGTGTGTGTGTGTGTGTGTGTGTGTGTGTGTGTGTGTGTGGTAGACTGTGTTTATCACCATTATCCTATAAACAAAAAACTAAATATTTGAGACTATATCAGATACATGTTTGTAAATATCCTCATATATGAAACTATTATTTTCAGGTACTTAATTGCTGCAAATATTTGTACATCTTTTATTAATAATTAAAATAAATAATTATAATTAATATGCATTTTATTTAAATAACAATGAAATATAATATACAATAGTAAAAAACTATAATAAAAAAAACTAAACCTAATTACTTAGTCATCATACAGTCCTACTCCCCGTGGACCCGTGCACCTCTGGAAAGGAAATCCGGCTGTGAATGTAGAGGAGGGACGATATTTATTAAAAAATCTAAACATATCTCTACAGCACTTAAATCTTTATATAATATAGCTTCATGTTGATGTGGAATGTGCTGTACCCCGCATCTTTCCCTGAAACACAATCATTTATAGCCTAAATAAAAGCATTTTGCTCAATAAATGAAATATTATCACAATACTCCCCTGAATTTATTTCATATTGGTGAATATGTAGTCGTTATTCTTTGACAGCTGACAACGGCTCTGCAGAAATATTTTCCTTTATAAATGGGTATTATGTCTGAAATCAAAAAGAAATATTATTATAATTGTCTTATACATTTATTGATCTTTAATGTAATTTTATAGCCAAACTTGGCCTCTGAATAACAAAATAAAATTAATTATATATACATAGCTTTAGACAATTGAAAAAAATTTGACAATTTTATAAATATAATTATAAATTTTAATTATAAATAGTTATATAAATATGTAAAAAAAAATGTTTACCTACTGAAAATGAGTTTCAATAAACTGTCTTCTTCTAATATTTCCCCTTATTGATGGTGCAATATAGCTTTGTACTATAGGTTCAGATGAATATTGTTCAATGCTATCTCTCTCACCAGAAAACACATCTTCTCTCATGTCGATGGCCATATTGTGTAGTACAGCACATGCAACAATTGTTTTTTTTGCTGTTTCAATATCTCCAAACATACCTCTTAATAGGCAACGAAACCGTTGCTTCCACAAACCAAAACATCTTTCCACTGTGTTCCTGGTACGGATATGGCTCCTATTATATCTTTCTTCTTGTGGTGTTGTGGGGTTCAGCAACGGTGTAAATAGGTAAGGAGTACAAGGATAGCCACTGTCACCAAGTAATATTCCAGAGAATGCACCAGCCTCAAACCTCTGTTTTAGTCTACATTCTCGGAATATTCTGGAGTCATGTACACTACCACGCCACCTGGTAACAATGTCCATGATTTTCAGGTCAGCATCACAAACCACCTGTAAAATAAGAGCTCATTAGTACTTTATGTTTTTCTGGTTTATTTTAATATATATTTATTACCATAAGATAGTCAAACAAATTATTTTCTATTATGATAAAGTAAAGTTATTAAAAGACAATCACAGCTATTTAAAATATTTGTATATTACCTGTACATTAATTGAAGAAAATCCTTTTCTATTAATATATAACTGACCCCCATCAGCATTCACTTTCTTTACTCGTATGTGAGTACAGTCAATTGCGCCAATTACTGTAGGAAAATTAGCAATACTGCGAAATTTCCTAATGGTTTCCTGCTGTTCATTTAAAGTAGTAGGCATTTTAATAAATTCTCGGGACTTCCGTGACAAAATTTCCGCTACTTTTTTACATGTCCTACTGACTACTGGTTGAGACACACCATGTAAATCAGCTGTATCGTCTTGAATCTACGAATAAAACAATAATATGTATTATTTGGCTTTTTATCTAGCGTAATGTTAGGTACATTGACCCCACCAAGATTATAAACAGCACTTACTTCATGGCGAGCCCAGTTGCGTAATGCACAAACCACTTGAATTTCAGGACTCAATGGGCATCCTCGAGGGTCGTGCACTAAATCCTCACGTAAGATACCCACTATTTTTTCTATGAAACGTTTTGAGAACCTATACTTATACCTAAAATCTTCGTCACTCAATTCAAACGGATTCACACGATGTCGATGTCTATCAGGTCGCCGAGTGGTCTCCAGCAACTAAATCCATCAAGTCAATCATGTTAATATCCATTTTTAACGATTTTAATAACACCAAATGAAAACAACGCGCACCTCAAATTAAGAAGTACCGAAATTGAGGTTAGTATAGAGTACCACAAACTATATAGAAAGGTTAGTACCATAGCTAAACTAGGGGTCTCGAAAGATTAACTTTAATACCATAGATAATCCTTGAACCAGAGATAATCTTCGTTTTGTAATAACGTTTTTCTTAGTTTATGGTTTAAATATATTACTAACTCCAGTACTATATTAAGTCCGTGTTTTGGAATAAGGCGGTTAGAATTACAGTTATCTTTGGCAAAAATAAAAATTAGGTTACACTATAAAATTACTTATTAATAATGATTGTAAATACAAACTTCTGAAGTAATTGTTAATAAGACTCCTGCGCACAGGTTTTATATCTCTGTTTATGTTATCATTATGTCTGTGCTCTCTAATATGCCCTTGTTCTATTAAATCTTCCCAAAGAGCAGGAAGGATCATCAGATGGAAGAATCAGATGGAAGGATTATTTCAGGATCATCAGATAGCAACTCTTCTTTTGCTTTTATTAAGATGTTGTGCAACACAGTCGTAGCAACAATTATAGGAAGGCAATTTTTTAGCTGTACTTGTATACCTAATGCAAGTACTGGGAATCGACGTTTCCATATTCCAAACAGGCGTTCAATGGGTTTCCTGCTTCTTATTTGAGATTCATTGTACAATCTCTCCTCTGGGGTTAATGGATTCTGCGGTGGCATCATAATGTATGGTCGGTTCATGTAACCACTGTCTGATAAAAAAAAGGCATCACCATATCGACCACTTTCAAATATAGTGTTTCTGTATGATCCGTTCCAAATAGTTTGATCTTGGTTACTTCCTGGCCATCTCGCAACCAAATCTAAAATTTCTAAGTTAGCATTTCCTATTGCATGCACATTTACAGACATGTAGGCTTTTCTATTCCTAAGATGTTCTCCATTTTCCCCTACAGGAGAATGAATGCGTATATGTGTACAATCCAGAGCACCCAGTGCCTTCGGAAAGCGTGCTATGTTATAAAATTTTAGTTGTTCTTTTTTTACTTCTTCTTCCGAGACAGGAAATTTTATAAACTGGCGACCGAGTGACGCTATAGCCACAGTAACTCGGTGTATAATTCTGTGAGAAGTGGACTCGCTCATTCCACAGTAATCACCCATAGTTATTTGTTGTGAACCAGTGGCATAATATCTCAAAGTTATAAGAAGTTGGTTTATTGGCGATATCGACTTGTTTCTGTTAGCAAACAACATTTTAGGTTAGTTTCATACATGCCCTTCATATACATCATTATTCTCTTGACGCTTTTTGTAACATTTACGATAAAGATGATGGAGTGATCCTATTACAAGTGGAAACACTGTGTGAATTTTTAAATTGTTGCAATTTAATTGAATTGTTAAATTGTCAATTAGAAACGCAGTAAGGAAGGTTTTTGGATAAATCGAGTTATTTATATATTTTAGTCCTCGTGATGAACTCTATCCATTTCTATAAATAACTCGATTTATCAAAAATATTTTTTACTGCGTTTTCAAGAAGTTTTTTCTGCGGCAGAATTAGTATAGTTATTTAGTAAAAGTTGTACTAAATAACAAAACACAGACATATTTTTAATACAATTTACAAAATAAGGCAATGTTAAAGTACATACTCACCGATTTGATGGATATTCAAGTTTATCTTCAATCATTTGCAAAACATCCAAACAAGATTCTTTCGATAAACGAAACCTTGTCCTAAAATCTACATCGTCATATTCTTCAAAATAATCACGTCGCTCTTTATATGTCTTAGGCCGTCGAACAATATTATCTAAAAGTTTTAAATTTTCCAAAATATCATCATTTTCATGTTCAAAAATAAAATTATAGGCCGCTTTTATTTTATTTGACCAACTGATAAAAAATTGACAGCCGTTAAAAGCATTAACGGACCTTTGGAGCGTGATTAACTATAACGCCTTGTTAAGAGAATTAACCATTCGTTAGTACGTGGTGAAACACCACGCCTAACGGGCTGTTATCTATTTAATTGGACTTTAAAACTAACTAACAGAGTATGGTGAAACTAGTTCTTAATATTAATTTCTGTACGCTTAGCTAAACATCGCACACAACGTCCTCGCTTATAACGCACCTTGTTGTTACGGTCTTTGTTTTCGTTTTTTGGTGTTCTGGATAGTGTTCAATATTATCCAGCCTTACCTCGTGGAGTTCAGTTCTTGAAAAGGATGCGTCAGGCCTGATGCGCTGTATAATTGGACGCTGCTGTGATAATGCTTTAGCTAACATGTAGCGATATTCTCTATGAGTTTAGTCACCATTAGTCTTGTAAATAATATATGTGTTTAAGATAGTAATGTTGATCAGTCTTCGAAACACTTTCTGATACCATTTTAGGCCACGTTTTCGTTCCAATTAGTACATGGAAAGTTTTAACTGTGGACCGCGACAGGCTTATTGCATGCAACACCTGCTCGTTGCCCTGGCGCCATGTCAATATTGTGATAAGTACTGATCATCGTCACTAATTTGACGTCCTTCCAGGCTAAGACGGTTATATCTCTGCAATTCCGACCGACCATGTCTTCTCGCTTCATGTTACGTTCAATCAGACCTCTTATAACAGGGGGATTTCCTGTACGCCGCCGATTCAGGTAGCCCAACACATCAGTGCCCTGTTTTTTTAAGAACCGCGTTAGTTCTACACTATTGTAGTAATTGTCCATTACTGTCTAGTGGCCCTTGTTAAGATAATCAGTAACCAATTCTATGACAACTTTGCTTGTGGCTCCTGTTAATCCATGCATTACTGGTGTTTGTGCGGACTGTCTTGGTTTTTTTCCAGTATATAAACTACGCAAGACAAAATAGGGCCCACTCTAAGTTAATCTCGAATTTCGTTTAAAAAATAAGTTAATAATAGAATAGTGAAGTTAAACATTTCAAAGTATTGTTGATTTTATCTAAGTATTGTTGATTTTATCTAACGTTATCAATGTTTCAAGTCAGGAATTCAATGGTGGGTAGACAAAAAAAGTGAAGTACTCCAAAAAACGTTTATTACTCAAATTCTCAGTCACTTGTACCCTCAGTCACATTCTGAATGTTACAGTCGCATGTCTACTTTTTTCATTTTGACTTGATTTCCATGTTATTCGTGATCATTATGCCTGGTTCTCGGCGTCATATGGATGTGGAAACAGCAACAAGAGCAGTGTTTATGCTTCAGGAGGGAGAATCTCAGAGATCAGTGGCAAGACGTCTTGGTGTGTCGCGACGCGCTATTCGAAACGCGTGGGAACGCTTTCTAGAGACAGATAGTGTCGCGAGGAGATCTGGATCTGGATCAGGAAGAGCGCGAGCTACAACCGTCCAGGAAGACCGTTATATCAGATTGACTGCACATCGAGAGCGTACGATTCCCGCCCGCGTCTTACAAAATCGACTGCGGCATTCGATTGGCACACGAATTAATGATCAAACCATTCGAAATCGGCTCCATGAAGACGGACAACGTTCCAGATCCCGTGTTATTCGTCTAAAATTGACAAGAGCGCATCGTGCAGCACGTTTGAGGTTTGCTCGCGAGCATGCGGAGTGGATAATGGACAACTGGAGAAATGTACTCTTTACGGACGTAAGTAAAGTGAAGTTTTTCAGCGATGATCGTCGAGTGCGCGTGTGGAGAAGAGAAGGAGAACGTTTTTCAGAACCTTGCATACATGAAACGGATCGTTTTGGAGGTCCAAATGTTATGGTGTGGGCTGGAATAAGCTTGCTCGGTAAAACTGAGCTGTTAATTCTGGAAGAAGGCTCCATAACTGCCTCCCGGTATGTCGATCGAATAATTCGGCCCCATCTCATCCCATTTTCACAAAGAGTGGGTGAAAACTTCTTTATGCAAGACAATGCTCGCCCACATACAGCACGAACAACCTAGAGAGCTCTCTCTGAAGCCAATATTACGGTTTTACCATGGCCGGCCATGAGTCCCGATCTTAACCCCATTGAACATTTATGGGACCAATTGAAAAGAAGCCTCAAATCGAACTTCAGTAATGTGACTAATCGACAAGAGCTCATAAACGCCCTAAAATTATGTTGGGAGCGAATACCCGAGGAAAACATCACCCACTTGATTGAAAGTGTCCCAGATAGATTCAGAGAGTGCATACGGAACAGAGGAGGACCTACTCGCTATTAAGCACCATCAAACTCATGGATTTAGTCAATAATAAAAATCAAAATCAAACTTTACTTAAATCAATAATTTCTGTAAACTTTCCTAAAAACTGTAAATTTTGACTAAATACGATAAAATTGGCAAAACTTACTCTTGTTAATGTTCACACACTTTCAAAACCTTAATTTATTCATTCCTAATCATAAAAACTGAAAAAAGAAAAAGAATCTGTAAAATTCATATATATAAAACATGGTGGGCCCTATTTTGTTTTGAGTAGTATATTATCATTTTTAGCAAATAGCTTGATTCAGATTCACAATTTCGTAGCTTTTTGTTCTAAAGCGAGCTGCTTTTGTGCGGTTACATTGGACCCAGGTTAGTCGGCCTTTCCATAATAATAATGATTCATCAAGGCTTAAATGCCGTTTTGGAACGTACATTTCCCTGAACTTTCTATTGCAGTGTTCGAGAATTGGGGCTATTTTAAGGAGTTTGCGTTCATATCCGTGAGTCATCACATCAAAATCATCATTATTAACAAAATGTAAAAACCGCAATATAAGTATAAAACGATTTTTGGACATTATTTGCCAAAAATGGGGCATTTCCAAAGTATCGGTTGCCCAATATTTATCTATGCGACCCCATAACATAAATTCATGTAAATCAAAACAGAAAAAAAGACGTAAAGTTCTTCCACAGTTACTTCGACCCAGTCATTTAATCGTGAATTCGGTTTTAATGCACCTTCGACTTCACTAAAACGTGCAATAGTCTGCCAAGCAAATTCATTTGTTTGATGCGCTATTACTTGCATAATGTTGTGATCCCACACGGTTTGAAATAACGCTAAAGGATCGGTAGATCATACTGTAGGTCCTGATTGATCGGTAAATGATTCAATACACCTGTAAATGTTCCGAAATTATCACACCAAGAAAAATCATCCACGTTGGTTGGTGTAACTTCTTCGTCACCGTCGTTGATGTCATCTGATTCCAATATTTGGCTAAGTGTCTCCTCAGTGATATCTTCATCAACGCTTATTTCACTACCCGAGTCAATTGCCAAAGCATCGGCAAGGTGTAAACAAAAGATTTGGTCATCTGGATCATTAGCCTAAAACAATATTTGGTTGTTATTATTATTATTACGATAGTTTACAAAACTATAGCTACACAAAAGTATGAAATTTACTTACTCGTCTGTTTCAAACAGGTAGTTCCGGAATTTATTGTAGGCGAATTTTGCGACAGATCCTGCTCCTTCAATAAGATTGATGTAACTGCTGCATCTTCAGTTATTGGATTTACATTTACGAGTTCATAATTATTAACAACATAATTGTTGTCGATATCTTCACTCTGAAAATATAATATTTGTTATAATCTTAAATATACATCTACCTACTTCTTAGAAACAAGTTATTTGTTAGAGATATAATTTTTTTTTGCCGTTAAAAACGGCGTAACAGACTTCAATCACCGTTGTTTCGAGCAATACTGAGCAATAAAACCCTTAGGGGTGGCATTTTTTCATGAAACTTATGAGACCACCTGGAAAGTAACCTTTCAAACAAAACAAAAAATAATTTTACGATTTGGTTCAGAAGGCATCGTCGAGTAATCGTGGAATATACAATAAAAAAAATCCGACGGAAAATGAACATTTTCCTTTTTTGAAATCTGTTTGAAATATTTTAAATAGAATTTTAACAACTTACGAAGGAAGATTCAAGGTTGCCTTGAGTATAATTTAATCGCTGCTTTTTATTTTCTCCAGTTTCAGCAACAGAAGTCTCAATAATATCGTTGGTTCTTTAGACGTTCTGACTCGGTTCTTTTCAATGAAACTCTTTCATCAGATAAAATTTTAAGTTTTCAGCTTGGAGATTAATTGATAACGAGAGTCGATATAATATTAGATTGAGACGTAGAAAAGTTTTCTTCCTCATCCATCTATTAAAACAATTAATACTTATAAATGATAATCAAATTCATTATTTCTTTATTTAATTGAATTCTTTATTTGAATCACATTTTTATAAAGTATTTATTCAAATTATTAATTTAAAAGCATAATGTGCACTCGTCATTCGGGTAGTGATTATATGTGGCATAATTACAGTTTTTACACCAAAAACATCTGAGGTGCAACAATTGTTCTTTATTATGGATTGTATCACTACGAAGAATAAAATAACTGGGCGCATTCTTATTTGTCCTTATTTTGTACATGAAACATTTTTTCTGTTTGATAAAATGGGTTATGGTCCATGGCCATTTACAGTGATACAAACATAAAGTGTAGTCATCTTTATTTAGGTATTTATCGACATCCATTATGATTACCATGTTCTTACGAGAAATGGACTAATTTTATAATAAAAAAATATAGTGAAAGTATATGATGTACACCAAATAAAAACATTTTTATAATTTAAACTACATTGAACTACTGTACAGAAGACATAAAAAACATTGAGCGTAGATCTACGTTTTGGCAATCATAACAATAAAAAAAATGAAACAGCCTGTATATGCGCCAAATGATGTATGGGACTTTCACGAAAAAAAAACAAAAGCGTGTTTTATAACACACTAAAAGATCAGTTAGACACGGCTTAAGTAGTAATCACACTCAGAGAAGTATATGTATAACAAAAATATGTAAAATATTCTTTAGAAGCGACACAAATCAATGCAAAAACCGAAGTTGAAAATACAGCCTAATGAACAAACATTTTGTACTGAATGTATGAAATCAACTGATTTCATGATATTTCTCCCATGTTTTTCATTATTGTATAAAATAATCACATATTTATGCGTAAACTTAAAGATATACATACTCACGTTCTTCGCTTCTTTTAAATAATAAAAAAAAAGCAGTGAAAAAGTTTTTGTTTGCCGTAGCACGTCCAAACGAGTAGTGACTTTAATAGCACAATTTGAATATATTTCATTCCTATAATGCGCGCGGAATTAGTTGGCCGCGCCTTAGGTGGCGACAGGGGTGAGGGGGCGGGTTGCCTACTCCTCGTAACGCACATGAGATTAGACAGTGATGACCTATCTCGGGATATCGTGAACAATAATTGTTCAATTATTGAAAAGAATAAATAAAAAACAATTGAACTTTTAGAAGTTTATATTGTACCAATCTAATTATATTGTAATTAAAAGTAAAATAAACCAAAAATAAATTAAATACATGAAATTATTCGAACATATCCTCTGAATCACTTAATTCTGAACTTTCTGAACATGATTCAGAATCACCTTGGAAGTTTATAATCATTTCGTCCATCATAGTATCAAATCTCATATCATGATTCTTGTTCGTTTTTTTGTACGTGGTCATCGCATTTTTGCCATTGTTCAGCAGATAATTCGGAAAATAGCCTTGTTAATATTGTAATTTTCTCGTCCAATGTAGCATTAATGTGATCTCTGGCCAGGCAGTTTTTAATATTTGCCTACACAAGCTCGATCGGGTTGAGGTCTGGATGATATGGAGGTAGTCTTAGTACAGTATGACCTGCAGCTTTCATGAGTTCATCAACAGTATATTTTTTCTGATTGGGTCGTATTAATCAATCTCAAAAGTTCGGCTTTGATCATCGTGGGAGAAAACGGCACGTTATTATTTTGCAACCAGTTCTGCATATTAATTTTCAAACTGGACATAGTTGGTTTCTTTTCAACTTGCACACAATGATAGGCAGCATTATCCATAACTATGACTGAGTTAGGTGGAAGTTTAGGTATAGTGCCACCAACTTATCTGTTCAGTTGACAGAGTCGCTAGTGGAGTGCTTACTATTGCCATTTAAGAAATTTACCGAGGAAATAGGTGACTACATATTCATTACACATAATATAAAATAAATATAATTTATATATATATATATATATATATAAATTATATTTATATATATATATATATATATATATATATATATATATATATATATATATAATTTATATTTTATAAAAATGGTCGTGGTCTCGGAGTTCAAGCGGTCGAACTCCAGGAATTCCTGTTTTGAAAGATGTACCCGCGTTAGATACTGGTTCCAATAATTCATCTTCTGAGTCACTGGAATCGGTTTCGCTATCGCTCTGACACTCTATAATAAAGGGTTCATCTAAATACGCGTCTTTTAGTCTGTATTCATTTTCAATTTTTTTCACATGATTGCATATGTTTTTCCACTGCACCGGTGTAATTTTATTAAATGCATCTTCAATTAATTGGGGCATTAGAACATTAGATTTTCCAACATTTTTGTCTGCTATTTTCCTTTTCATAGAGCTCCATATCATTTCAATTGCATTCAAGTCGCAATGATAAGGCGGCAATCTAAGAATAGCATGGCCATGACTTTTCATCAGGTTATCAATTTCGTATTCCGGAGCAGGTTTATTTCTCTTTATTAATTCATAAAGCTGAGGTTTTGTCATTTGTTCATTGAAACTTACATTGTTTTTTTCAAGCCACTTCTGCATATCAGCCTTACTGTGGTTTGAATTAGGACACCTATTTACGCAAATACTATGGTATGGCGCATTATCCATTACAATGAGCGAAGGTTCATGCAGATTAGGTAGTAATTTTTCATATACCCATTTTTTGAAATTAATGCTATTCATTTCATCATGGTAGTCCCCATATTTTGTATTTGATTTAAATACGAGAAGGGCATTCTCCACAAAACCTTTTTCTCCACCTGCATGGATTATGATCCACCTATTACCTTTCGAAACAGGTTCCAAATCACCATCTTCTTCAGGACCTTGCCAACATTTCCCAGTTGAGTGAGACGAGTGAATGTAAGTTTCGTCTAAATAAATAACAGGTCTTTTTTCACCACGCTCATTTTCTTTAATTTTTTGTAGGTAGGTTGCTCTCCATGCAACTACGTCGTTACGTTCGCACAACACTTTTCTATTTGATTTCGTTTTCTCATAACGAAATCCTATTTTGTGAAGCAATTTTCGAAGAGTTTCACGTTC